GAGGCATGATAACCACTGGAGTGTTGTGTTGTTGGTGGTTGTTCCTTCTATGGTGTGTCCTCTTTAATCACTGTTTTTGTGATGGTTTGTTTATTTTTTGTGGCTCTGTGTGTGTGTGTGTGTGTGTGTGTTATTTCAGTGTGTTGTGTTTGTTTGTTGGTGTGTGTGTGTGTGTGTGTGTGTGTGTGTGTGTGTGTGTGTGTGTGTGTGTGTGTGTGTGTGTGTGTGTGTGTGTGTTATTTCAGTGTGTTGTGTTTGTTTGTTGGTGTGTGTGTGTGTGTGTGTGTTAGAGGGGAGGTGTGTGTGTTGGGGAGGGATATGTTGGGGTGAGGCGTGTGTGTTGGGGAGGGATATGTTGGGGTGAGGCGTGTGTGTTGGGGAGGGATATGTTGGGGTGAGGCGTGTGTGTTGGGGAGGCGTTGGTGGGAGATGTGTGGGGGGTTGAGGTGTGTGTTGGGGAGGGGTGTGTGTTGGGGAGGTGTGTTGGGGGCAGGTGTCTGTGTGTGTGTAAATTACTCTGTGTTATGGTGTTATGAGTTGTAGCCGGTGTGTATGGGGGGGGCAGGGATGTACTGTTATTGTGTATATGGAGATGATGGTGAATAGGCTAATGGTGTAAATAATAATAATAAAATTGGTAATATCTAAAATGATAATGATTGTAATAGTAATAATTATAATAATTGTTTAAATGAAAATTGGTAAAACGATAATTAAAATAATCATAATTATGCTCACGCTTATTGATAATACTAATAATGTTAGATGATGAAAATATAATGATCATGATTTTACCGGTAATATTAATGATAATACTAAAGTAAAAAGGTATTATACTAATTAGTGCTGCACAAATAATTATAATAATTCAATACCAAGATTACTACTATTACTATTGATAATAGTGAAATCAAACTAACACCATTAAATCGGGTTCAAAGTTTTAAATCATTTCAGCTATATATTTTCCCCAGGACGAACAAGACTACAAGAGCTTCCGGTGTCCTTAATGGCAATATATTGTTCCATTAGAGGTTTTACACACATACAATACAATTTTTTATACCCAGTAGATTAATTTAGAAGAAAAAAATACCAATGAATTTGCAGACTGTAGTAACAATTTGTGCGAATTTTAGTATACCCTGATTCTATATGGCAGGTAAACTCATGACAGGTGTGTGTATGTGTACGGCAGGTAAACTCATGACAGGTGTGTGTATATACGACAGGTGTGTATCTATATGGCAGGTAAACTCATGACAGGTGTGTGTATATACGACAGGTGTGTATCTATATGGCAGGTAAACTCATGACATATTTTGCATGTCATGGCACCAAAGGTATCTGTACTTGTTCAGTATATTTGGTATACTGTCTGTGTTCAGTTTTGTCATAGATATAGCCAAGTTTACTATAGCTAAACAGTATATTCAATCATTGTAGTGAAATGGTATAATCGTTCAGTATATTTCATTGATGTAATAAATTCAGTATATTCATGTGGTATATACCGATACTTTATTACATTGACCGTATCTGTTCAGTATACTTAAGTAATATACAGTATATACACTAAATATACATGAGTTCTGTATCGTTAGTGGTATATCTATTCAATAGGTGTACATGTATATACTAAATTATACAGACGTACACATTAATACACTGGATGATTCATTGATACAGTATACTAAAATAAACACCAGGTAGGTCTTGAATATACACGATTATACACTAGCTGATTCCCTTGACATACCAAAATATACACCAGTTAGCTCTTGGATAAACAATTTATACATCACAGAATTCATACACGGTCGAAAAAAAATCAGGAAATAATACTCACTCATACACACACAAATATACAGCAAATAAATTATTGATATACGAAAATAAACGCCACTTTCATACAGGCATGCAAATATATACACCAAAGAGTACACTGACAAAATACACATACACACACTCATACACACATATACACACACACACACTCACACATATACACACACCATGCGACAAACACTTCATATATACATAAATATACACACAATTATATACTTAAATAAGAACTTACACACAGCAGACCATCTCATCATTGAACATGAATGGACAAAATGCAACAAAAACAGATGACAGTTACGCATACAGACGTATACACAGGCAACGTTTAAGCTTACTGAAATATACACCAGTTAGATGTAAATATATACAAGAACTATACACCACATACAAACACACAGGAAATATACATTAAATAAGAAAATACAAGAAATATACATAAAATAGCAATATATACATGAAATATACAGTATACACCAAGGACCAACACAGACCAGGAAATATACACAAATAACAACATACACAAGAAATATAATCCCGTGTACTAACCACAGAAATATCCACTAACACGTACACACACACACGCGTATACACCAGATGCTACTACTGTATGTATTAATCAGATAAAAAATATACATAAACAAGTATACACCAAATGGTACTGTATGTATTAACCCACAAAAACACCATACACACACAGACCAAGTAACATATGCATTCATCATAATTGGGTGGGCAGAAAGAGGCGCACCAGCAGTCTAGTTGGCCCCTGCGTCCTGCCATTCAACATACATCCGGCAGCTCTGCATTGTCACGCCATTCACGCCCTGATCGTACTTGCCGCTATTCAACCGTAAGAGCGACACTACACTAGCGGGTGGACGGGAGACTCGGCCTTATATCTGGTCAGCCCGCAAACTCGACTCTTGATTGGTCCCTCCGACCCGTCACGTCAACCACAGTTACCAGTTAGGGTGAAGTTTTTTTATTTTTTATTTTTTTTCGTTGGGTGCTTTGGCGTTGTGTTCATGACTACTGTTGCTGGCGATGAAAAGTTTTATTAAAGTATATATATAGAGTTTTGTAGATCGTAAAAAAAAATATATATATATGATAATATTAAGCAGTAACGTAAATAAAATCATCTGGACTTCTTTAACAGCTGATATACCATAAAAACTAACAAGAAAAAATAACATGGAATTATCTAGTCGGGAAAATATTTGACTTGGTAACTGTAGAAACGTAAACAAAGGCAATTAAGTTGACGCATGTGTTATGTCTCTTATAAGAATTACGATTTGGATACTGACTACTACTGCAGATATTGTATTTTACGTTTCATTTTTTATGTTGAACTAATACGTAAGTGTATATATGCTGTATATGTATGTATGATTGAACGATAACTTGTGGGAAAACATGAATTCTCCATATCTTTTGCTGTCAGTTTTTTTATCGTGTCTTTCAACTCATATCTGGACGCTGTAAGAAATTCGGTAGTGTGGTGGCCATTCTCAAGAGTTCCTCGTGGATGGGGAAGGGGAAGGGGAGGGGAGGGGAAGGGGTAAGGGAGGAAAGGGAAGAATAACAAGGATAAGAAGGGGGTAGAGGAAGAAGGGTGGGAGGTGGAAGGGAAGAGAGAAGAGGAAGGAGAAGGGAGAAGAACAGGGTAGGGCGGGGAAAAGAGGCAAGGAGGGGAAGGGGAACAGGACTGGGAGGAGAGGGGAAGGATGACAAAGACTATGAGGGGAGCAGTAGAGCAAGAAGGGCAGGTTGGAAGGGCAATAGAGCAGAAGGGGGAATTTAAAAGGGCAAGAAAGGCAAGAGGTTAGGGTAGGATGCGAGGGGAGGGGCAAAACTTGGTAAGAATGATAGACAAATACCTGAGAGAGAGAGAGAGAGAGAGAGAGAGAGAGAGAGAGAGAAGAGAGAGAGAGAGAGAGAGATTAAAGCTGGTAAGAGAAGAGGAGGAGGAGGAGGAGGACAATTTAGGGGTTTAGGGAGGGAAAGTGGAGAAGGACAAAAGATGAAGAGTAAGGAGGAAAGAGACAAGAGAGGAGAGATGGGGAGGAGGACAAGACAAAGAATAAAAAGGGGAGGAAGAGAACAAGACTTGATATAGTGGTAAAGGAGAGAGAGAGAAGAGGGAGGGAGGGGGAGGGAGGGGAAGAAAGACGGGACAATACACAACTTGTCCTCTTGAGAGAAATTAAGAAGAAATGACATTTTTTATTAGGACGACTTATAGGCCTAAGTTTGGTAATTCATGTTTAATGTTTTCTAAATGACGGAGTGACTTAAGCACCGTCAGTGGTGATATACATAAACATTACCCAAGAAATAATACAAAAGTTTGGGTTTTTGAGTGGTCGACTGTTGTTGTGTCGACTCCTGTTGTTGGTGGTGGTCGACTGTTGTTGTGTCGACTCCTGTGGTTGGTAGTGGTCGACTGTTGTTGTGTCGACTCCTGTGGTTGGTAGTGGTCGACTGTTGTTGTGTCGACTCCTGTTGTTGGTGGTGGTCGACTGTTGTTGTGTCGACTCCTGTGGTTGGTAGTGGTCGACTGTTGTTGTGTCGACTCCTGTTGTTGGTTAGTGGTCGACCGTTGTGTCGACCTGCTGGTGTCGTGGTGGTCGACTGTTGGTTGGTAGTGGTGACCGTTGCTGTGTCGACTCCTGCTGTTGGTGGTGGTCGACTGTTGTGTCGACTCCTGCTGTTGGTGGTGGTCGACTGTTGCTGTGTCGACTGTTGTTGGTGGCGGTCGACCTGTGTCGAGTCCTGTTGTTGGTAGTGGTCGACTGTTGCTGTGTCGAGTCCTCTGGTTGGTGGTGGTCGATCGTTGCTGTGTCGACTCTCTGTTGTTGGTGGTGGTCGACCGTTGTTGTGTCGACCTGTTGGTGGTGGTCGACTGTTGCCAGGTCGACTCCTGTGGTTGGTGGTGGTCGACCGTCGTTGCGCCGAGTCGAGTCCTGTGGGCTGGTAGTGGTCGACTGGTTGTTGTGCTGACTCCTGTTGCTGGTGGTGGTCGACTGTGTCGAGTCCTGTGGTTGGTGGTGGTCAGACTGTTGTTGTGTCGACCTCAGGTTGGTGGTGGTCGACTGTTGTTGTGTCGACTCCTGTGGTTGGTGGTGGTCGACTGTTGCTGTGTCGACTCAGGAAGCCAGGTGGTCGACCGTTGCTGTGTCGACCTGTGGTTGGTAGTGGTCGATCGTTGCTGCCGACTCCTGTGGCTGGTGGTGGTCGACTGTTGCTGTGTCAACTCCTGCTGTTGGTAGTGGTCGACCGTTGCTGTGTCGACTCCTGTGGTTGGTAGTGGTCGACTGTTGTTGCCGACTCCTGTGGTTGGTGGTGGTCGACCGTTGCTGTGTCGAGTCCCGTGGTTGGTAGATCATTGGTCGATTGCTGTTGTGTCGACTCCTGTGGTGGTGGTGCGACTGACCGTTGTTGCGTCGACTCCTGTGGTTGGCAGGTGGTCGAGGACTGTTGCTGTGTCGACTCCTGTGGTTGTAATGATCAAGGTGGTCGACTGTGGTTGGTAGTTGTGACTGCTGTGCGAGTCCTCTGGCTTGGTGGTGGTCGACTGTTGTTGTGTCGACTCCTGTGGTTGGTAGTGGTCGACTGTTGTTGTGTCGAGTCCTCTGGTTGGTGGTAGTCGACTGTTGCTGTGTCGAGTCCTCTGGTTGGTGGTGGTCGACTGTTGTTGTGTCGAGTACTGTGGTTGGTGGTGGTCGACTGTCGTTGTGTCGAGTCCTGTGGTTGATGGTGGTGGTCCTTGAGTGGTCGATCTGCCGTTGTGTCGAGTCCTGTGATTGGTGGTGGTGGTCACTCTTGAAGAAATGGGAGATGTGTCCCTCTTTCATTGAAGAAACCTCGTAGGACCAAGTAAACGGACATGTACAACCCCATGGACACGTGTTTTTAGAAGAATATTTGTGTGTGTGTGTGTGTGTGTGTGTGTGTGTGTGTCTGAAGATATGAAAATCTTGACCGATATGCCAAAAAAAAAATATTGTGTGGATACTCTTAATCTGTACACAAAGGACGTATGGGTATAGTGATAAGTTGTGTACAGTATATGGACATGGGTTTTTTGAGGGGGGTCCAGTTTTTTGGGGGGGAGGGGTACAGGTTTTGAGGAAGGCCCGATATGTCGAGGGAGGTCCGGTTTGGGGGGAGGGGTGGGGAATTTTGAGCGATGTCCGGTTTTAAGGGAGTTTTTTTTTTTAGGGAGGTCTGGTTTTTGAGAGAGGGACGTTGCATTATCGAAACAGTTGTCACAGATTTATTTTCATTTCTTTTGATGTGAAAAGAAATTACACTTGAGGTACACGAGATGTGATGTGAGTGGAGTTTGTTAATGAGGATACAAGCTACGTCCATTGTGCACGCTAAGGAACAATGCTCTCACGTACAAATACACTCATATACAAGTAGAAGTACACGCTCACATACAAGTACACTCGCATTCAAAGAATCCTCACGTACACGTCGACATACTTGGTGCCGGGTGTGAGCATCTGTATACTTAAGGAGCTGTCAGCCATAATTGGTGTTGTATGAATTAACGTCACAAAAGTTGATGTTACGTTCTCGTGTCTGAAGAGGGAGAGCAACACCCAGGGAGCCGTATGGGCCAGTGAACCTTCCGTTGTTATTTATCTTCATCTGAATAACTTACGATCCCTTGTGCATACCAGCCTAGGCCTCAACTTTGAATTTGTATCAAGTAATTTTGTCACTTGATTTAAGCTGCAAGAGAAACCGGCCAACTACTGTCTCTAATAATAATAATAATAATAATACGATAATTCAGGGTCAGGACTTGATTAATAAAGGCTCGTAAGACTAATATTTTGCAAACTAATTCATTTATTTTAGACTTGGGAAAACAAAACATGCTGCCCACAATGGCGTTGAAATTGCATTGAAACCCAACCAGAATTAAAACCCTTATTAATATTCTCAGTTTAAGAGGACAAATTATCGTATGTTTCGACTAAAAAATAAATAAATAAACCCGGAGTTGTTGGTCCTATGTTCCTGGAGACTGAGACACAACTGGAAGGTCCCTGAGATATTATAAAACCCAGCCAAGATTCCTAGAGGTTCCTACGATGAATATTTCTCGTAACTGAAGATGTAAAGATCAACGTAACTAGTAAAATTAAAAGTACAAAAATAATAACCCCCCAAAAAATAGCTTCCAAATTATTTTTTAAGGCTCCATCTTCAAGTAATTACCTTAATTTCGTGTACTTTAGTGGACCAACTTACAGTACAGAATCTTTTGTATAAGCTTTTATTGAATTTAAAATTGTTTTCTAGTAAATGAACGTATGTAGTTAAGGTAATGTCATAGTGTAATTGTGGAGCCATTTTAGAGGATATTAGTTTTGTGATTTTAAGTTAATTTATTGTGTTTATTCATATTTGCCATCTCACAAGGAATGTTTATTATAGTAAACATTAAAGAATATGTCCCCTGAGGTAACCCACAATGAGAACACTCCAAGTAGTCTTTATCCCAGTATAGTTGTGGGATTAGCGTAGAATAATGTTGTGTGTGAAAAACGCAGTGACAGTTGTTATTTGCAAGATAAATGAAGCCTAATTGTGGCTGTTTCCGGCATTATGGAGTTGAGTCCGGCACGTGAGTTTTTTCACAATATAAATTCATGATGGGGTTAATATGAGAAAATATTTTGACCCCCTTCCCTTTGTCCACAGCGTTGTGTATTATCCTCCCTCTCCCCCCATCACTTCCCCTTCCCTCCCTCCTTCCCTTTCCCCATCTCCTCTTCCCCACCATCATCCCCCTCTAATACTTTGTTTTGTTTTCGGCAATATCTCCACTAAATCTGATTTGATACGAATTAATTTTGTCCAGCAGCAGTTTACTACAGAGTTCTGGGACGAGTTGAAATATCAGTAAATTCCAGCTATTTGTGGGTGAGTTACGACGCTCTGAACGTGAGATAACTGGTGATTTTTGCTATGTTTATGTCAATCACATTTTCTACGATTGCGAGGGATAATTTGTGCGTCTTCATATTCTACCTTGTTTTATTTTCTTTTTACACATTTACATTCTAACAATACAAACTCCATTTAATTATATTGTAGTAGCTTACTCTTGAAGTTTTATTTATTTACAGTTAAACCTTCATATAACGGACCTCTCTCTCTCTCTCTCTCTCTCTCTCTCTCTCTCTCTCTCTCTCCATGTAATCCGTAAGTTGAAGGTTTTTATAACGAATAGACCCTCAATATAACGGAATTTCATCTCTATATAGTTCGTTAGATGGAGGTTTCACCGAGTTTTTAATATATATTATTTTTCTGTAATTGTTTTCCCCCAGTTTGGACCTAATTAAAGAAAAAGCGACACATATCACCGGAAATTCATCATCATTAGTGTTAAAAAAATTGTCCATATTCATTATACTCATTTTTTTTCACATATACGAATATTAATACAACATGAATTACCATTTTAAATACAGAGTTACGAAATATTTATAATGTTTTTGTTATATGAACGTCGATGTGGTGTCTATGGTGAGAGGTAAAGGGGCAAAAGGACAGGTACTAAGTTATAATTAAAAAAAAAGAGCACCTGAAGATTAAACACCCAGCTTAGTACACCTGAAGATTAAACACCCCCAGTTTAGTTCACCTGAAGATTAAACACCCCCAGCTTAGTTCACCTGAAGATTAAACACCCCCAGTTTAGTTCACCTGAAGATTAAACACCCCCAGCTTAGTTCACCTGAAGATTAAACACCCCCAGCTTAGTTCACCTGAAGATTACACACCCCCAGCTTAGTTCACCTGAAGATTAAACACCCCCAGCTTAGTTCACCTGAAGATTAACCACCCTAAAGTTAACCTAACCCTACCCTACCCTAGGCTACCGTACCCCAACGGCCAGGTAGTATTAGAGTGGTTAATCTTCAGGTGAAATAAGCTGGGGGTGTCTAAGCTTCAGGTCATCCAAAGAATATATTTCATGGAGGCACCAGTGAATAATACAGAGGGTTTTGTTAGAACTTTTTTTGAAATTAATAAACCAGTGGACTTCATTCGGATTATATATCAAAGGGGAATTACTGTATATTGGAGTAGTCTTCCCGTCTGTTCATTGTTTGTCCAGTCATTTCATCAAATACTAACGCCACCAACCCCTTCCCCCCCTTCCCCCCCTTCCCCCCTTCCCCCGGTCTTGCCCCCCCCTTCCCTCCCCCGGTCTTGCCCCTTCCCTTCCCCCCGGTCTTGCCCCCTTCCTCCCCCGGTCTTGCCCCCCCTTCCCCTCCCCCCGGTCTTGTCCCCTTCCCCTCCCCGGTCCTGCCCCCTTATCGCCCCCCCAATCCTCCGTTATGGTTCTAAACTGACCACAGTGTAGTAGAAATGTGTCAGGTCATGTTGGGTCCTTTCTCTGCAGAGCTTCACACATTCTAACAATCTTGTTTTAATTCGAGTCTCGTTGATGTTACAAAGACAATTTTGGTTGAAGTGAAATTTAGTTGATGGTTCAAAGAAATTTATAGGTTTATTTATCGATATAAGACACTCCTCGCCTCTCTGGCTCTACGTACTCAAGTAAAAAAAAAAATAACATATGTGTGGTTCCTACAACATGCTGACGCCCTAGATCCCGTAAAACTTGGGTAGTCTCACGTCAAGGGCCTTACAAGCGAGAGTTTTACGGTATAGTGTGTATATTGTGTATACTTTAGGGCCGTCATACAAATGAGAGACACTGCAGCGGCTTTTGGCAGTGTCTGTATATTCGTGTGTATTCGTAGGAGTTTCGTTGTGTGTGTGTGTGTGTGTGTGTGTGTGTGTGTGTGTGTGTGTGTGTGTGTGTGTGTGTGTGTGTGTGTGTGTGTGTGTGTGTGTGTGTGTAGTCTTGTATAATTGAGGGCCATCGTAATAGTGAGATCCTGTACGGTGTTTTAGCTCTATCGTACTCTCGTAAGTTACTGAATTCATTAACACACTGCAGTAGCCTTGGGACATAAGTTGAAATACATAGGTGATAGATGATGGCTCTTTATAGTGATAGATTACCTTGATAACATAATGTACTGTCTGTAGGGTAACTATGTATGATGCGTAGTTACACAGGTGTCACCTTTTAGAACGTTGTTTCGTTATAATGCTGATCCTCTCATCACCGTAAAAAAAAGTTCTTGAAAGTCCCTAATTTTTCAAGGTTCAACTTCTTGTGATAATTGTGGGTAAACCTGATATAAATTTCTTTGGTTTTCGTTGTTCTTTTTAATTTTTATTTATTTATCTTTGTTTCCTCCTTTTTCCTTTTTTTTTTCTATACCCTTATTCCCTGTTTACGGATATAGAATGTAATAATGGATAGTAGGGGAGAGAGAGTCCTGTCAGTGTCTTGATGGAAAGTAGGCGTCACTTCCTGGGCTGAGAGGTTGGATCCCAAGTAGTCTGAAAGAAATGATAAAAGGACCGCGATCTTTTGAAAAAAATGATGGAACTTGACCAGGGAGGCTTCCTGCTCCCCTATAACGCACCACTATACTCACTCTGACACGGAAGATGGATTAGTGTGTGTGTGTTTGTTTGTTTGTGTATGGGTGTAGTTGTTTTTTGTGTGTGTATGGGTGTAGTCGTTTTTTGTGTGCATGGGTGTAGTCGTTTGTGTGTGTGTGTGTGTGTTGATGAACAACACAATATCCGCCAACTCCTCCTCAGCCAACTGCTCTGGGCAACACATGCTTACAGAGCTCCTATGGCGACAGACGAGTGGCGACGGGTACAGGCAGAGATGACTGCCGGGAGCCTCTAGTCACAACTCTGCACGGGGCGGTACAGATAAGATGGTCGTTTA